GGGTGACGGGTCTGATATGGGTGCAGTTTACCAGACGAGGATGAAAAAGCTTTAGCTTGTTGACTTTTGCACATGTCAAGATGATTGACTTTTTGACCTACACGAACAAGGGCTGTATTATTTTTACTTTTGGTTTGGACGCCTTTCTTTTTCCTAATTGTCGTTTTCCCTCTCGGATGGGGCACAATGTGCTCATTTTGCATTGCATAAAAGGGTTGGATTTGAAGTGTTTCTTTTTTTTTGGGGGGAGTACGGGAAAATTTGCGAATAGGTATGGAGGGAAAGCAAGAAGAACAAAAAGGGTAAGAAAACAGAAGCCGCAAAGGGATATACGGGAGGAGCACAAGAAACACTACTCATAACATAATATAGTTGCAGAGAATAGGATGCACTTGGAAAGAGACATAGTCTCCCCCCTCCTTTTTTTCTTGTCGAATCTTGAATGGCAGGACTTTAGGCTCAGCACACAGGCTTAGACGAAGCATTATTTCCTTTTTCTTTTCTTGAACATGGTTATAGTTTATTCTTTTGCCAACAACGGACGGGTGACGTGTCGCCGCTGCGTGGCGCTACGGCCTCACGGATATTTCCCCACGTGTGTGCTCTTTGTTCTCAAGTTTGCGTTTGTTCTGAAGAATTATGAGTGTTGTCTCGCCCACGTGGCGCTCAAGTTATTGTTCGCAACGTTGTTGGGTACGGGCAAACCAAAAAGTAAACATAAAAGACGGTGTCAATCTGGGAGCGCCTTCGATCGGTAGACCGGCAACGGGAAAGACGGTTCCTTTTCCGAGACTTTTGTTTTCTTCATGTTTTGCTTCTACGATTCAGCCGTGGTGAATCCAGCTATCCCGTACTATTATCTTCTTTCGACGACTACGTCTAAACCAACAGGTTTTCCCTCTGAAGCCGCTTGGTCGAGTCTCGAGACCACGTAGTATCCAGAATTCCCACTCGAGACAAACATTTACTGGCACTGGTGGGCGGCATTGTCTGGCTCGGGACTGTCAACAGCGGTGAATAGTTGACTACGCTGGAAGCTGGCTAACAAGTCGAGTCCAATTTCTTTTTCGTTCTAGTCTGGGTGTCTCTGTCATGAGCTGGGCTATAAGTGAGGGGACCATCTGGTGAATCATCTGCCAGGCATCGATTGACTGACTGCGCTGGGATCATGTTCCGATTTCCTAGCTCAGCTGAGCTTCAAAATAGCAAAGGCCGTGCTGGTGGAACATGTGATGCTGAGACTGAAAGACGCAGAAACAGGCCACACAAAGGCGCAGCAGCAAAAGCTTGCAAACAAGGGAAACCAAGTGGCAACGTCATGGGAATCAAACTACCTTTATGCATACATGCTTAATGTCAACCAGCCCCAAAATCGGCCTCTCCAGTAGCGCCGCGCTTCCCCGCCAAACCTGAGACTGAAAAAAGGGCTGAGCGGCCTCGGCTACCTGGCAACATCGCGGCCCACAACCAGGCCGATGGGAGGCGATCCGTCTGCGAGAATGACCGTGCGAGGGGCGTCTGCCCAGTAATGAACAAGCTTTTAGCTCTTCCAGAAGGAGTGAAACGCTCGCTGTTTTCAATTCCGGATGACACCCATAGAGTTGAATTAGATGAAAAACGGGTGTCTGCTTTGGTGAATTTGTTTTGCTTGTTCGTTGATTGGCGTCATGTGAGGCTTTCTCTTGATGCAGCGCAATGCCCATATCTATGTAGGAGACCAATTCACAAACAACAAGTCCCACATCATGCGCGCTGGTTCCTGGCTCCCGAGTAACCAACTACTGAGCGTTGCCCAAGAGGGATGGTCCGAAACTCTCTTCGCGCGCCCACACTAGTTGGGGCGCAGCCTCCGATCATGAGGCTGATGGAGCCGTAGGATAAAAAAAGAACAATACGCTTAAAGGGCCGAAGCAGCTGAGCTGCATGAGAAAGCACGTCTTTTTTTTTCTCTTTTCGACCAATGAGGCCCCCGAAAACGGGAAAGAAGTAGGTTGGGTATCATTGCCTTTGCGGGCCGCAAACCAGCGTCGCGCTCTTTCTGCTTCGTGCTCTTTTTGCTTCGTGCTCTTTTTGCGTCGTGCCCTTTTTGCGTCGTTGCTCTCTTTGCGTCGTTGCTCCTTTTGCTTCATCGCCCGCCCGGCCGTCTTCCCAGGCCGATGCGTTCGTCGCGTGCCCTCTTGGCCGCCGACGGGCTCGCACCCTGCATGCTACTACTGCCCTCCGCCGTCAGGGCCCTCGAAGACGCTCCTCCTCCAGTGGTGGTGGTAGTGTTGCCAGCGCCAACTGCTGCGGCGGCAGCCTGCGCACGCGCCCGAGCACGCGCCTCTGCTGCCTGCGCCTCAGCCTCTGCCCGGGCTTGCTGCGCGGCGAGCAAGGCCTCACCAGCGCGACGGTCTTCGTAGGCGGCAACGTCCTCGGCAGTAATGGCGAGTGTGGTGGGAGGTCGGCGAAGCATTCTTTCTTTTCTTTTCTTTTTCTTCTTTTGCCTTGGCCGTATTTTCTTTGTTCAGGAGGAGCGTAAATAGGTGGGTTATTTTCTTTGCGGGCGGTGTTGCTTGAAGAACAAGCAGCTTTCTTGGTCCTATTTTTTTCTTGCCCCGTGTGTCCTTGTTCCCTGACTGATGAGGGGGGGCTATAACTTTGTAAAAAGCCTGCTCGCTCTATTGGGTAGGTAAAAAAACGTGCGTGTGGGAAAGAATGTTTCGTATAATTTCATTTAAAGAACTTGGCGCCGAGATTTGCATAAAGGTTTGAAAGGGATTAAAAAAAAAAAAGGATCAAGTTGACGTCGTTGTTTGCTGTGTGATTGATGGTGGAGTAAGTACCTTGTTATGGAAACAGCGACCGGCCGAGAGTGTGTGGAGTTTTGGGCCTGAGCACAGCACAGCAGCAAATGCCGTCACACTTGATCATGCACGATTATGCGGGTAAAAGAATTCGGAAATCATCAAATGAAAAAAGAGAGTTTTGTTGAGAAAATGACGGCCCTAAGCTAAATATCATGTTTGATTATCTGAAAAACGAAGAAAGATGCAGAGTAGTTTGTTGTTCTAGTAAAGAATGAATGAATGCAAGTGCGCTCGCTGCTAAGTTTCAACAAGACGTAAAATGACCAAATCGTAAAATCATGTATGCAAGTAATTAGTTATTTAAGAAAGGGCGGCTGGGGGGTATCAAATTCGAAAAAAAGAAACAAAAAAACAAATAGGTCTTTTCCATCATTCGTCTTCCTCGTTGATGTCGTCAAAGAGTGTCGGGTTCCTGGCAAGAAACTGGCCCAGATCCTGGCTCAAGTTACAGCTCATTCTCGGGCCGCCGCTCGCCGCGAAACTCGTATCTTGCTTCTTTTCCAAGTGCTCTTCCCTTTCTATTGACGATGGGAGGCCATAGGTATCAAAACCAAGCTCCATGCCCATGCCCATGTCCATCTCCATCATGACGGGAATGGGATCCGAAGCGTGCTCGTCGCGGGCCGCGGCCGAGGCCGAGGCGTTGCGCTCGGCCTGGCCAAAGGACCAGCTCTGCATCCTCACAAACGAGCAAGAGGAGGAGGACCGGTCCGGACTGGCCGGCATGGGCAGGTCCGCGTCCGACATGGTGGAGGCGCTCGAGGCGCTGCTGCGCGACGACTCGGACGACGGGCTGGCCTTGCGGGGACGGCCAGACCTGACGAGGGCGCCGTGCGACTCGAAGCCAAACTCGTCGAACCAGTCGCCCAGCTCGTCCGCCATGGCGTTGGCCTCGTCCTGCGCCATGCCCGAGACGAGGTCGTCGGTGCCGCACAGCGTCGAACAGTGGTACTTGAGCCAGTCCACCTCGTGCTGATTGGCGGCGTCTGGCTCCTCGCCGTCGTCGTCGTCGTCGTCGTCGTCGTCGCCGTTTTCCTTTGCCCTGAGGCTCTTGTGCTGAAACTCAATATGCCCGTGGCGGAACAGAGGGCTCGCCCTGGAGTAGGCGGTGCCGATGAGGTACAGCGAGTCGCGGGCGGCGGCGGCCTCGTGTTTGGCGCCGCCGGCGCGTTTCGACCTCGATGACGTCGTTGTCGTTTTGTTCATCATTAGACTGTTCCTGCGTCGTCGGCGCTCACCTTCGGTGGACGCGACGAGCATTTCCGGAATGGGGGCCAGCTGGGACGTGCGCGCGCGGGCCCCAAACCTGGCAGGGTTTTTGGGTGGAGGAGGGGGTGGCGGAGAGCCTTCTTCCATGGTGAGCGGCCGCCGCGCCTCAGCTGCATTTTCTGCCGAATCCACGCTATTATTATTATGGGCGCTCAGCTGGGTCGGCTCAGCTTCCGTAGTAGTTGCCAGTCCCAAATCGTGGCTCAGCTCTTCTTCAGCGTCAGTCTCGTCGCCGTCCTCGTCCTCGTCCTCGTCCTCGTCGTCGCCATCTGGCTCCGTAGAGATGCAAGAGTCCGTGCCCATCCAGGCCATGACCGAATGGGGAAGCATCTCCCGGTGGTACATTTGCGAGGCCGTCAGATTCCTGCCATGCGTCGCGCACAAGGAGAATTTGGACGACTCGCCAGAGTGCCGCTTTGCCGGCAGAGCCGACTGTCGTTTGGCGGCTGTGATGGAACTGTTGCGCCTGTGCGAGGGTTGGTCGTCGTCGTCGCCGCCGCCGCCCAGGTAGTCCGAGTAGACGGACGAGAGGCTGCTGGTGGCCGACACACGCTTGGATGCGCGGCTCGGCAGCAGGTCGCTGACGCTTTGCGACAGCGTCAGCCGCAGCTTGCGCGGCAGCAAGACGCTGCGCTTGCCCATCTTCTTTGTCGTAGGCGGACGCACGCTGTTGTGGCCCTTGGTCGAGGTGCTGTGTGATGACTGAAAGGAGCCTCTTCGGGTCGTAGACCTGTTGCTCTGCATGGAGCTTCTTCGCGCCGAGACGGGAAGAGGAGGGAGTCCCTGCTGCCGTCGGCGTCGCACCAAGCTGCCGCGACTCAGAACAAGCATGCTTGTTGGCTTGGCTTGTGCGACATGGGTGTTGTAGGTGACATTGGCCAGTGCTATGCCGACATCTGCAAAGGCTCGATCTGACTGCCGGATCAGGCCCTGAATGTTGTCGTCGGCTGCGTGGTGGTCCATGGGTTGTTGATCTTCTGCGACGGGCGGCAGCTCCCCGTCCGACTCATCGTCAAAGAGCCCGCGCGGAGGTCGTGGCGGCCGCTGGGGAGGGGGCGCAGAGAGTCTCTTGGGCAACTCTATGGAACTGCTTGAGCCGCTCAATGAGGTGTTTTTGGTAGAAATGGACGAAGTGCTCTTGCTAGTCCTGTGGCTTCCCCTTGAGCTCGAGGTGGTGCGATGTAGATCCAATGGGTTCGGCGGGCTCAGGAAAGCTCTGTAATTTGAATAGTCGGTAGAGTGGAAAAACATGGACAATCTCGTGGTGGCTTGACTCTTTTCCTTTGAGGTGTTCCATGATTTGGAGCGGCCGTGCTGCGGTGTGGCAGACGCTGGCGTTGGTGTTGGTGTTTCTGATGCCAGTGTATACTTGGTGCCGTCGCTTGTGAATTGGATGGGTGGCGTGTTGTTCTTGTTGTTGCTGGGATCGCTGGAGCGCGTCCGACGATGGGACAGACGCCCCCAGGCAAGGCCGAGTGACGAGCTGTCCATTGTTTTGTTGTATATGTCGATGTCGTTACTTGAGTTGATCAGTTGTCGTAGACCATGTCTTGTTTGAAATGGTTGTAAACCTCCAATGCCCCAAGCGCAAGGCCGTAGTTTTTTTTTTTTTGGCTGGTGGTGTGAGTCGAGCACACCGCTAACGTCTTATATGTTGGAGCTTCTTTTGACGCTAACTTGTAACAATAAAAAAGGTTGGACAGCGCACAGAGTCAACGGTGCTCAGATGTAAGTAAATGTGGGCAACGTCGTCAGACCCAGCACGGAGTAATAACAGGAAGAAAACCTGCTGAACTTGTGGTGGTGGTGGTGGTGGGGGGACAAGGGGATTGATATTGAAATTTGCCGAAGAGGAAAGGGGGGGGGGGGGGGTCAGCAGCGATGAGACGTGGCACAGAGGGCACGATGCACGAAGGTGAGAGGCTGGCTGGCTGGTTTTGAAAAAGGGTTTGTTCTTTTTCAGTGTTTTCCTCTTTTATCTGTATTTTGAGCGGGAATACCTATTTACCTCTCCGCACATAATTAGGGCGGGATGAGTAGGGGGTGGTGGCAAGGGCGCTCGCTATTATAACAGATTCTCAATCTTTTACCTATGCCATCCACAGTTGGAACACTGGGCAATCCCTCTCTTTGTCTGTGTCTACCAACCACTGCAACCAGTTACGCTTTTTGCTTGCTTGCCTGGGATGATGATGACGGGCTGGTTGTTATTAGCGCGACTCATGGGAGCCTCTTTCCATGCAGTAATAACTGCCAGTAATAAGTACCTACCTAGTTTGCTAGTGTAGTGCAACAAGAGGCAACTGGCTCCGGAGGGCCGCTATAATGTGGTCGCTCACGCGCTGTAGGACTCGACTAGGCGCCCACGGAGCCCATGCTCTTTCTCGGTATAGGGCCGGGGTGGCCTGTAAAAGGTGGCGTGAGCCAGGGAGTTGGGTTTGAGCGAATCCCCAGTCTGCCATGTCGCATCGACCCGGCCACCCTTCCAACCTTCTCACTCTCTTTGCTCTTATTATTACAAAAAGTTGCTCAAATTCTAACGAGGGTTGGGGCGGTGGATGAGCGCCACCATCATGCATATGCCCGGTGCGCTGAATATTCAATTCACAAGTCCCCTCCTTGCCTCCCAATGGCTCGGCTTGCCTGGCATTGAGTCCCATATGTACTTGTAGACTTGTAGTCAAAGTCTCGTTGCAATGCAGCTGGGGGGGAGGGGGAGAGATCGGCAGCCCATGCCCACTACAAGTTCGTCACGAGCTTGTTTTCCGTATTCTGCCATGTAATACTTACTTACTTGTTCTTTTCCTTTTCGAGGGAACGGGCCGGCGCTATCGTGGGTTGCAGCCTCCCAACTCCATCCCATCATGTCTTTTTTTTGCTACTTGGAGAACCCCCGCTCATTCAAAGGCAACTTGCAGCAGAGACAAAGCCAAAAAGTACGATGCTCCTTGTGCGCCCTCGGTACCAAGCCGTTCGTCCTTTGACAAACCGACCCAAGACAAAATCTCATCAAAAAGAAAAATGGGTGATTTTCCCGATTCTGCTTGCGCGCGCGAGACACGCAGGCCCCGCCGCCCGGTGAGTATTCTTGGCTGCGTGTTGACAGATAATACGATTGCTCAGCGCCTTGTTTTTTTTTAGGCGAATTCGCATTGAACCGATTTCGACAATAGCTTAGTGTTTGCCTGCGGCTAGAGAAGAAAAAAAACTGTACTAACCCTGATACGGGCTAAGCTGGTAAATATAGCTAGAAGAGTTGCAGTAAATTGTTTGACTCGACTCGAGCACATGTGAGACTGTGAGACCTCCGCCGCCCGCAAAGCCTTGGGACTATTTTCCCTGTCCTCTTCGACTTATTGTTGTGCGACCAAAGACAGCATGAAGCCGAGGATGCGGCGAACAGTGTTACAATTCTTGTCATTCTCTTCCACAAGCGCTTGCCCGTCGCATTGTATACAAAGTCTACAAAGGGCGCAAGAAGCGACGCTGACAGGATATCCGGGCTCTCCGGCACCATGAATGAGTTGACGAATGTCTCGACATGTCCATGCCTTGTGATTTGTCTTTGCTTTGCAGTCGGAGTGTGGTAGCATGGCAAGCCACGTACTTACTAACTTAGGTTCTGCCTGTAGTGACTTGATGTACCGTATCACTGTAGTTCCAAACCCGACCTTCCCAATCGAGTCGTTCATTACAACAACATGTAATAGCAGTCACCATGTTTTGCGAGACCAGACGCAACGTGGCCAATGCAAATCGCTCACTGCAAGGTCCCAAGATGATGCACGCCACGACTGCGATAGGTAACAGTCCCATGATTGTAGCAGTAAACCTTTGGCAGTAACGACTTGTCTGCGCGAGGCTACGTGACACCAATTTTCATTTTCATCAGGGTGAAGCCAAGCAAGCATCCGAGGATCAACCAGGCTCGAAAGTAATTGACCCTTCTTCTGGGGGGAGTCACTACAAGGATTTCACGACATACTCTTTGCCGGTCTCGTCCACCGAAAATCATCAGCCCGCGTCATCTTTTCTTTCGCTCTCCCACACATCCATCTCAGCGAGATAATCATCGCTGACACCCAACACCGACAGTCACACACCACCATATTAACTTGCCACTTGCTTGCAGGGATGTTGTCGCAAGCTGACTCAGGCTGGCTGGCAGCTGGAAAAATTACCAATTCGGTGTGGCAAGCGGTCAGCAAAAAAGTTCCAGCTGAGAGCCGACTTTTCCTTTGCTGCAAGTTGATTGGAAGCCTTGCAGCCGCGCTTTTTTTCTTTTTACCTTATGCCGTATGCCGTGGGGATGAATTTGCCGCAGCCATTTGAAGGACTGATTGGCTCGCCCACCTTGCATGCTGCGTGAGCACCCGGCTTCCAAACGTCTTCGACGGACGGCGGCGATCTAATTACCCATGAAATCTATGCGTCTTGCCGAAAAAAAAAAAAAAAAGGCTTTCAAAACTCCACCATTTTGCTTACTATGCTGGGCATATCCTGCCAGATCGCCGCGCAGCCATCCGTTGCGGAAAGCCTCATGGCTGACATATGGGGGCGAGTTGCTTTATAGCAATCATCAGCCGATCTAATATGCCTTGCGTGCTCACCATAAACGGAAGATTCTGAGATGGAGGTTTTAGGTTGCCGGTAAGCAACAGAAATCTTTTGACGACATCGACACCGAGCCACAATGACGCTGCAGTCGCCCGTAGCGGCCGAGCAAGACGTACAGGGCAACCTGGCCACATCCAAAGCCGACAAAATCCACATAACAGCCGTGCCAAACCCGGAAATCGCACTTAGCCCTTATCCTGGTTTGCCAGGGATTTGAAGGTGCAAGTTGAGCTCGTCTACGCCTAGTAGAGCAACCGTGGTTAGCTTAGACACAAGTCGGGGATTGCACAGCTCGCGTCGGATACCGTTGTTGTTCAAGATTCGGCATTGTCTCCCCAAATTCCGGGTCGCTTGCAGCCGTAAATAATCGCAAATTCTGTTTGCTTTTC